TCTACGTCAGCTTTGTTTATTGTGGAGATGTCTTCTTTTACCAATTAGATTGTAAGTTTATTGAGGGTGGGAGGTGACTTTGGTCCCGGTATTAGCTCTGCTGCTAGTTTGCTGTGTGACCTTGCTGTTTTCTAACCCGGCAGAAAATAGTTGTATATGTACATAAATGACTATAACCTTGTTCAGTGCCTGCAGAATGACAGAGGGAATTATGGCTTCATTTGTTTTTTAAAAGGCATTTATGATACAGTACTGTCAAAGTGTGAACAAGGCCTTCTGAGCCTCACCTTGCATACTAGTGAGAGCAGAACAATGTAAGGAGAAGAAAAATATCTCTGTGCCACAAAGACAGTTCTCATCTCAGCTAAATTTGTACAAACAGAAAGGAGCGTTGGCCTGGTGCGTTATTGGAAACTGTTTTTGTTCATCAGATTTGTTGAGTGCCTACTGCGCATCAGGCTCTGGAACCCAGTCATCTTACAGGCTGATAGAAGGGACCCTTGGCTCTTTGTTATTCTTTGGATGGCATTCTACTCTTTTTCTTGCTCTAGTGGTCTGGGAAGGGTTGTGGAGTGGGCTTACAGCCCAGTAGGGAGCAGAGGCAGATGACGATGTATCTTCCTATTCTGCCACAGTTGGGAATTTCCCTTTATGCTCTTGTTTCTGAAAAGCCAAGGGACCAGAGGCAGATTTCAGTCACCATTTCTTCCCAGTGCAACACTGGCATAAACTGTTGTTTATAAACTTTGCAACATGGTTAGTATAGAGACTAAGAATCAGGCGTGTTTTTAAGGAAACCATGAGGTATGGAGCTATGGACTATCTTATTCATTCAAAAACATCTACCTAAAAGGACAGGGTAAAGGCAAGTCAGGCTGACCCAGTACTTTGTATATGACAGCAGCATTTCATCATGAAGATAGCTTATGTAAAAGAGCATGGGGTTTTGGCCTTTACGAGTCATAAGGCCGTCATTGCTGGGTGTAAATAAATCTCTCCGAGCCTCTGTTTTCTCAACTGTAAAATGAGGCTAATGACCCTTACCTTGCAGGGTGGTTGTGAGGTCTCAGATAGTTATGCAAAGTACTTACCATTGTGTCCAGCCACTCCTAAAGAATCAGTCTTAGTCCATTTTTGACCCAGTGGAACTCTAAACTTAGAGGCACAGATGTATAGATTGTTCTCAGGACTTGGCTTCCTTTGGCTAGATGCTTTATTTCAGTTCAGCCTGCTAAGTGAGTTCTCCCAAAAGAAGATGGATATTGGATGGTGTTACTTTCTCCTCTCCAAGGACCTGCTGCTGAGAGTGCTTCCAATGACTCCCTAATGAGTGACACACATCTGACTGGGGACATGAGACATCTGGCAAGCCACTCAGGAGAATGCATTTCCACCTGAAGTGTGCCCAGTAACCCTTCAGATGCCTGAAGTGTTGCTTGTTATATCAGCATTCTGGCCCAACTCTTGGCATGCACCCCAAACTCTTGGTTTCCTTCCTAGGAAGGTTTAGAATTAAGTTGTGCAAGAATACCCCACCTAATTTTAAGATACCCTAGAGACTCTTCAGTTATCTCAAGGAGGTATTTTGACATTCTGTAAACCACAGTTTTTGTGGTTTTTTGTTTGTTTTCATTTTTATTAAAAAAAAAAATGATATCATTGTGGGGGAGGGCTTAGGCTGTTGGAAAAGCTTACTCACCATTTCCAATTTGTAAATTGAAGGTTGAATTAGATCTTGGACTCTTTGAGTTGAAAGATATAAGAGCAATTGTTTTATTTAGCTTTCTATCACTCATTTCTCCCCCCATGACCCTTCGGAGCCTTGCAAAATAAGCCTGCTACATAGTCAATAGGTAGCCCTATAGCTATTTGAAAATAGCTCTCATAGTGCTCCATTCTTCTCTTTTCTGGCTGAAGTTCGCTGGTATTTTATGTGAGTGGATCTTTATTACCTTTAGAAGTCTTCCAGATAATCATCTGTTTATTCATTCTACCTATCCCAAGAACTTTCACAAGAAGGCTATAAACTAGTGGCCTAGATACTTGGGCAGGTTACTGAATTTTTCTAGCACTCACCTTCTTCATCTGTAAAATGGGTTCTTAGCACCCACACCCACAGATTCGTTGTGAATCTGGAGTGAGATAATGCTTGTAAAGAACTTAAGCAAGGGTCTGGTACATAGAAAGTAGTCAGCTGGTAGAGACTAAATTTCCTAACTAACGTAGACTGTTGGAATACTCCTACATCATCATCTTGTAGTATTGAGAGGGTAGAGGAACATAAGATTAAAGTTTGCTCTCTGTTTACTAGAACTATGGTTAAGAAGGCTTTATGGTGATTAGGAATAGTTTCCTTGTAGCTTGCCTTTCAGTTCCATTTTATATTCCTTAACAACAATTTATTTGGAAGCCTCAGTTTTATTGAAGAACTATGCTGTTACATTAGTTTTGATAGGCAAATTCTACAGGATTGGGATTGTTAAAATTTGAATGATAGTAGATGGAAACGTCATTTACAGAGGGTCGTCTTTAGTTTAAGGGAGAGCATATCTGGTTGCAACAATGTGTAACAATGGAAGTATATCATATCATTTCACTGTCATGAGCACCTTGTGAGCAGGATGCTGTCCCTGAGATACTAAGTTACTTGCCCAAAGTCACAGAATTTGTCAGAACCCAGGCCTGTCAGATTTAAAACCTTAAGTTCTTTATGTTGTACTTTGTGTAAGTAGAGGATGCTTAGGGAGACAATCTAGATTGGTTAAATTATTTCCTGTAAAGATATATCATAAATCATTACTTTGCTTTTCCTTACTAAGAAGTAGTAAAAAGAAGAAGTGGTAAAAAGTCTGAAGTGGGAGCCTGTTTGCCTCAGGCAGTCTATAAGCAGAGCGGGCAGCAGCCACTCCCCACAACCTGAGAGGCTGTATCACAGGTTTTACGAGGAGTGGGCATGTTGCAGTGGGCAGGGATAGGCTTTGTGGTGTGCATGGTTCTTCTCTGGGACCCCAGAATCCACCCATGTTACTGCATCCTCCATACTGAATCAGTTAGCAGGCTGCATGAAGATTGGCTTCATGTTGCGTTTGGTTTATCATTTGAAGTAATGTCAACCAGCAGCCCAGAAATGGGCTTGCTCCTTCTTTGGTGAACATTTTATTCTCAACTGTTCTTTTTTTTGCCACTTGTTTGTACAGGAAGTCCTCAAAGAATCTCAGACTAAACAGGAAGTGATTTATTCCCATATAAAGGGGTACTAAAAGGAATGAGGGTGGTGGGTAGGAGATGGAAACGGTGTAAGGACACCGTGGGCACTCAAGCGGAGGGAGAGGGGGAAAGCATTCCCTAGCAATATGGCGCCCTTCCGGGTTCTTCTCCGCAGTAAACAAGCCCGCCGGTGCCAACACCCAAGCCCACCCGCGCCAAACCTCAGCCAGTCACAGGTCAAGGCTCACCTCCTGCCCAGCCCCGTCCAATCAGCTACCGCCCGTCCACCCCCTATCCAAACCCAGAACGCAGCTCCCTATAAATATACGCGCAGTCCTTGAATAAAGCGGAACTTCTCTGGCGAACTGTCAGCTCGGGTCCGTGCGCCATTTCAAGATGCCTTCCCTATTTTTCTCCATAGCACTTATTACGTCCTGACATAATCTACATTTCACAGTTATGTACTTATTCTCTATCTCCCTGATTATAGTAGAAGCTTCATAAGGAAATGGGTTTTTCTTTGTGGTGTTGTTTTCCTCATTAATGGAAAATCAGTTCCTAGAACAGTGCCTTCGGGTCCCTGCACCCTTTCAAAGGGGATGGTTGACCTGGGACCTGGCAGTTAGTTGTCTCCTAAAGGGGATTTTATATTTTAAAAAATCCCTAATTTCTTTAGGTTTATAGGCCGTGTACATTTTTAAGTGAATCTACTCTCTTAAATTGGTCTCATCAACTTACAAATGAAACCAAATTGCTGGAGATATATTTGGATCTGTTTACCTTGTTCCTATTTGGTTATCCTCCTCTTTTTAGTAGATATTTTAACAATAGGCCAAAATTTCAAGTGTATTTCTTTGACTTTAGGAAACTTGCAATTTGTTTAGAGCAGTTTTTTCTCCCATGTCAGCTTCAAAATAGAAGGGTTGAATAATTTTGGAGCAGAATATCTCAGTATTGATAATGTTAACAAGCAGGGGCTTTGGAGACAGACCTTTCTGGGTTTGAATCCAAGCTGATTGTCACTTACCGGTTGTGTCATTTAGGCACATGAGACTTTTTTCCTTAGTAAAATGGGGTGTTATGAGGTTTAAAAGAAGTGATATTTGGAACTTGCTTGGTACATAGTAATTTCTTAAGCAGCTGATGCTGCTGTGGCTACTACTACTATTTCATGAGGAAGGTGGCTTTGGGAAAAGAATAAACAAAGAATTATTTTATTCATCTTGTTTGATTAGTTGGCTCTATCCTTTTATAATATGGAAGCCACTGAGAATTAACCCCAGGCTAATGTATCAGAGGGAATTCTCTTTTGGGGCTATCAGCCCTAGCAAAATGCATGTTCTGTTTCTTTTCCGAAAAGAGGAAATTACTAGTTTTTCATTCCATCTCTTATCTTTTTAAGATTAGTCATCTTTAAGTATATAACATCTATTATCAGTATGGAGTGTTTGGAAAGCTTCCTGTTTACTCCAGTGCATCCCTGATAAAGGATGTAGATAGTCATCTTATTGTTATTTCATTAAATAAACATGGCCTGCTTCATATAAACATCTTTGTTCTAATAATGCAGTCTCATACTCAAGGTGTGACTGTGTGGCAACTTTCTGGCTTATGTGGTATTTGGAGACCAGAAGATATAAAATTAGTTGAGCAAGTGGGTCTCTTTATCCTGCTCAAAGCCTTTCCAACCCCTTCCATACCATTGTGAGTTTCCCTCTGGAAGCCTTACTGATGTTTAAGTTACATGTTGATACTCACTTTCCTTTGTGCTTCTTTTTCTCTTTCCTGGACAGAAACCGAAACCCAAACCCCGGCCATCCATCACAAAGGCAACCTGGGAGAGTAACTATTTTGGAGTGCCCTTAACAACCGTCGTGACTCCAGAGAAGCCAATCCCCATTTTTATTGAAAGATGTATTGAGTACATTGAAGCCACAGGTAAGAGTGTCACCTCATAGCAGTTTATACCTTTCATTGTCTACAGGATGCTTTCTGGAGCGCTAAGCCATCTGGAGATGCTGCAATCAGTTATTGTTTAGTTTGAGTTGCTGTCAGAGAAGGAGATGAGCAATCCTGACAGCTAAGACTGTGGCTACTCCATTTTCATGCAGTTTTGAGCCTTTTCGCGGCATTTATTAGAACTTGATATATGCGGGGGCAGTTCTGTCCTCAGGACTGCAGTTGTGGCTTATTGGATACTTTCTCTGTACTCCCTCAGTACCCTGTCATAGCATGCAGCACTCTGGTTATCAGTTGCCTGTCTGTGTCCCCTACAGATCTGTAAGCTCCTTAGGGCAGGGAAGGTCTTTTGTCATCATGTCTTCAACACTATACTGGACAGTACTATATTTTGATTTCAAAAAATGAATGAGTAGTTGTGGCTGTTACAGCCCTTGGCATTGCTCAGGTGCCTGAGACTCATGTATTGATAGGATTTTTTTCTGAAGTTGTTAAAAAAAAAACCTGAGGATGCTGGGTTATCTTCTGGTAGTGGAGCTGAACTTGGTGTTGTTGCACAGGCAGTCTGTCTTAAAATTTTTGACATTGTTCTTGAAATGACAACATTTTACTTGTATTAAACCCATGTGTTTCATTCATTTAGCACTTCCATGTGTCTCTTTGGCCTTCCAGTTTCACATCGTTGTTTCCCTCATTTTTCTCCTGGATGCTTTCAAAACTGATGATCTTTGAGGAGAAAGTGGCATAACATGCTAATGTGGATTCTTGAGTACTAATAGTTGAGTTCAAGAATATGGGTTTAAACTAATTTGAAATTAAGGCAGGGATTACAGCCTCCCTGCGTGTTCCTTCCAATTCCAGTGTTATTTATAACAATATTAAGTGTTGTGTGGTGTGATCATTTCAGTAGCATCAAATGAAGCTGAATGACAGTGATAATATTTACTTAGGATGTTGCAAATTAGGGAAGATAGCTTTTAAGTTGAAACCTGCCAGAGACTTTGTAGTTACTTCCAGGGTTTTTTTTCTCTGTGACACCCCAGAGTTGAATCTCAATAAGTAATTTGCATAATCATAGCAGATCTGCAGCTTTGTTTATCCATTCTGTACCCAAAGCCTTTTCTCAGTGTCCATCTTTTTGACACTGTTTTTTGTTTTCTTTTGTTTTTGGTGGCTGGCTGGTAGAGGGAACTGAACCCGTGACCTTGGTGTTATCAGCAAGCTAACTAGCTCAGCAAACTGGCCAGCCCTTGACACTGGTTTTATATGAATTCCTTCCTGGCACCACTATCTTGGACATGGAGAAAATCTGTAGAAAGCAAATTTGAGTGGTTGAAGCCTCTCCTTGTTGACCCAACACTTCAGAGAGTTTGTGTCATTTTCATGAGTGGAGGTGGGGAGCGTTATTTCCCTTTTTATTTTTTAATTAATTAATTGATGATTAATTTGGCTTAAACAATGGAAACTTATTTTCTTATAGTTCTGGAGAGTAGAAGTCCAAGATCAAAGTTCTGGCCAGTTCAGTTTCTGGCAAGGGCCCTCTTCCCAGCTTGTGGATGGCTGTGTTCTCACTGTGTCCTCACATAGCCTTTCTTCGATGCATACATGTGAAGAGAGAAAGGAAGGAGAAAGGTTTTTCTTCTTGTAAGGACACTAATCCTTTCAGATCAGGGCCGCACACTTATGACCTCATTTAACCTTAATTACTTCCTTACTCCAAATACACCACAGTAGGAGTTAGGGCTTCAACATATGAATGGGGGGGGCAGGACACAAGCATTCAGTTCATAACATGTACTTTTAAAATTAAGGTGATATTCACATCATGTTTTGAAATTTAAAAATTACATTGTAAGCGTTTTTATCTTAGGAACTATTATAAAATGTCATTTTTTGTTGTCTGAATGGCATTACATTATATAGATGTAACATAATTTTTTAAACCAATATACTGTTATTGAACATTTAGATGGTTCTGGTAGCTGCTGGTAGAAATGGTGCTTCAGTGAATGTACTAATTTCTAAATGTTTGTTCGTATCTATCATTATTTCCTTAGAATAAGTTCCTTGAAATGTAATTGATAAAAATCCCAGATTATTTAAAATTTTAAAGCTTTTTATTTCTATTACTAGATTTCCCTCTGCTACATTCCTTTCAGAAATGTATAAAAAATATCTTTCTCAGAACCTCACCAATACTATGTTTTTTTTTGGGGGGGGGGGTTTGTTTTGGTTTTTTGTTGTTTTTTTAAAATTTGACCAGTAAGGGGATCTTAACCCTTGACTTGGTGTCGTCAGCACCACGCTCTCTGAAGTGAGCTAACTGGCCATCCCTATGTAGGGATCCAAACCCGTGGCCTTGGTGTTATCAGCACGACACTCTCCCAAGTGAGCAACAGGCCAGCCCCATACTATGTATTTTTGATGTTTTAAAAAAAAATGTATCCTATTATATAATTTTGTGGCTTTTTAGTTTAAAAGGTTGAAAATATATTATTATGTTTATTGGCCATATTTTTTGCTCATTTTTTAACTTGATATGGTCATTTTATTGACATCTAAAATAGCTCTTAATATATTGAGAATAATAGTCCCATATCATTTGTTCCCTATTTTTCCCTTTAACTTTTAATTTTTCTTTTGGTGTTTTTTGATGTGTGTGTATTCTCAACTTTTTATTATAATTTCAGATTTACTCATATAGGGAAATTACAAAAATTGAAAGTTGTACCAAATTATAAATTATAAAAATTTCCAGGTTCCCTGAATGTTAACATTTTATGACATTTGCTTTATCATTCTTTCTCTATATGTGTGTATCTTTTTTTTTTTTTTTTTTCCTTTTGTCTTTTTTCGTGTCCGGCAACCGATCGCAACCCTCAGTGTCGCACCCATACCGGACCGGGACTGGCAACGGGATCGCAACCCTCGGTGTTGCGCCCACACCTCGCTCAGCCAGTGAGCGGGAACCCGTCTGTATGTGGGATCCGAACCCTCGGCAGGAGCGCCGCCACGCTCCCAAGCGGCGCACTGTAGCAGTGCGCCACTGGGCCGGCCCCTGTGTGTATCTTTTTTATCTCTCTCTGTATAAAATATTTGAAAGTTGCAGATATGATACACCTTTACTTCTAAGTATTTCAGTATTTTCTAAAAACATTCTCTTACAGAACCACCATGTATTTATCAAAATTAGGAAAATAACATTGACCCATCTAATCTATAATCTGTAGACATTTTCATTTAATTAGTTGTCCTACTAATATCCTTTATAGCAACAGACAAAAATTTTTTTTGATCCAGGACCTCATCCTACACCACATGTTACATTTAGTTGTCAAATCTCTTTAGTCTCCTTTAACCTAGAACAGTTTAGTTTGTTTTATATGACGTTGATAGTTTTAAAGAGTATGGGTCAGTTCTTGTTTTTTGTTTGTTTGTTTGTTTTTTTGATGTTTCCGCATGATTAGATTCTGGTTATCCACTTTTGGCAGGAACAGAGGGCAGTGATGCTGTGTCCTAGGTGAATCACCTTGGGAGATGTGATGTTGATTTGTCCCGTCACTGGTGCTTGTCTGCCAGGCTTCTCCGCTATAAAGCTACTCACTTCCCCTTTGTAATTAAGAAGTATTTTGCAGGGAGATGTTTTGAAACTGTGTAAGTAGTAGGTTTCTGCTAATACTTGCACCCACTGATTTGAGCATTCATTGATGACTCTTGGCTGGGACCGTGATCACCATAGTTTTTCTACCTCCCTTATTCCTCCAGCACTTACTGGTATTCTCCTGTCAGGAAGAGCTTGCCCTTCCTAGCTGAGCACATCTGTGGGCTTGACCTCCCCTGCCTTTCTTACTTTTCTAACTCTTAAACTTTCTACTCTGCATGATTAGCTTTTTTACATCTAGTGACGAAATGATAGCTCTCCTTGCTGTTCTATTTGTAAATTGTTTCAGTTATGAAGACCTCTTCTACCCTGCCACTACCAAGCTGCTGCTTCTCTTAAAAATCATTTAGATTGCTCCACTGCCCACCGTGTCCCCAAACGCTTGGAGCTTCAGGGTCATCTGTGACTCATCTGATCAAGCCCCAAGTGTGTCAGTTCTCCTTCGTCATTTCTTGGCTCTGTCTCCTCTACTTCATTTCCACTGCCCCACCGTCACCCACCTCATCAGTCCATCTTATTTATGACAGTACTTCTGTTGAAAAACTTCTTCTTGCTTCCTCCGTGCTTACTAGAAGCAGGCCACACTCTTGACACCTCCTGTTCATTTGTGGGACTATTATGCTGGCATCTCTGCCTGCCTTCCTCCCTCTCCGTTTTCTTTCCCTCCCCATTTTCTTTCCCTCCCCCTACTTCCCTCTTCCTTTTCTGTCTTTCCTTCCTTTCTTTGTTTTTTTATACACTTCAAGCATTAATTTTTAAATCGTTTTACAAGAATATAAACAATATATCAAAAGGATATGGACCAAGCAGAATTTCACGGTTTCTCTGCCTTTTGGGTATGCCCTTCATGTGGTTTGAAATGTGTCCCATGCTCCTTCTTGTGTCTGGAACTTATCCTTATTCTTTAAGACTCCCCCACGCCCAATAGCACTTTGAATGTAACTTCCCCGGGGGTTCTTCTCAGGCAAATTTCACCTTCTTAAGAATGAGATTCTGTATTCTTGTCTCCCTAGAGCCTGGTACACCATGTTATTGATTAAATAAGAGGTTCAACCTGGAATACTTTCATTCCGTTGTTTTCTTCTCTTTTTTTCCATCCTTCCTTTCTTTGTTCTTTTTTTTTTTTTGGCAGCCAGCCAATACAGGGATAAAACCCTGGACCTTGGTGTTATTAGTATCATACTCTAACCAACTGAGCTCACCAACCAGCCCCTCCCTCCCCCCCTTTCTCCCCCCCTCTTTCCCTCCCCTCTCCTCTCTACCTCCCCTCCCCCCCCTTCCCTTTTTTCTTTTTAAATTTTTGGCATTTTTTGTCTTT